AACCCCAAGTTAAGATAAGAGTGTGTAATATCTCTTAAACACCAACTTGGTTTATCCATCACTCATTTCTTCCATTCCATATCTCCCCATTTCCCCTCTTAATCTTACTCTTTTCTTCCATTAAAAACACCCAAAAGAACTCCTTTATCATCTCCATATATTTCCAAGCCATTTCCCCACAAAACACCCTTTTTTTCTGCCCAGAATTCTGCCCAACAATCGATTATCTTGATTGACAATCGATTATCCATCATTGTTGAAACACCTGCAGCCTTCAATAATCGACTGTCCACTTTAGACAATCGATTATCACTTCCTCTTGAAATCCTGCAGTCTCTAACAGTCGATTCTCACTCTTTGTCAGTCGACTATCTTCCCCTCCTGAATTCCCTTGGAATAAGCTGCGAGCCTCAATAATCGATTATCATACTACTGATAATCGACTATCCGCTTTCCCTGAAGTTTCTGGGTTTTAGCAGCACAGCTCCATAATCGATTATCACCTGGCCATAATCGATTATCACCTGCTCCTGAACCTTGAACTCAAGCTGCATCATCCCTTAATTCCTTCTCAAAATAACAACTCGTTAAGACCCCCGGTTCGGGTATAACATCACCGCACCACTCACGAACCTCACCAAAAATCAGAAGTTTGAATGGAAATCGAGATCTCAACAAGCCTTCGAAACCATCAAAGAACGGTTGACACACGCCCCCGTGTTAACCTTGCCAAGCTTTGAAAAATTGTTTGAGGTTGAGTGCGACGCATCCGGTGTTGGGATAGGAGCAGTCCTCTCCCAAGAAGGCCACCCGGTGTCCTATTTCAGCGAGAAGTTGAATGATACGAGAAGGCGATATTCAACTTATGATAAGGAGTTCTATGCTCTTGTTCGGTCCTTAGAACATTGGCGTCATTACTTGGTCAGCAAGGAATTCATACTTCACTCCGATCATGAGGCTTTGAAGTATATTCAAGGACAACACAAGCTTCGACCCCGTCATGCCAAATGGGTTGAATACATACAAACCTTCACCTTCACCATAAAGCACAAGAACGGAACCTTGAACAAAGGAGCCAATGCCCTCTCCCGGAGACACCTATTACTAACGGCCCTTAGTGCCAAAATTGTTGGTTTTGAATTTTTGCAGGAGCTGTATAAGGAAGACGAAGACTTCAAAGACACGTTCTCCAAGTGTCTTGTGCGGCCCCATGGAGAGTTCCTCATCAAAGATGGTTATTTGTTTCACGGAAATCAATTGTGCATTCCGAAATGCAGCCTTCGAGAGACCCTCATTGAAGAAGTGCATGGAGGTGGACTTGCTGGTCACTTTGGCATCGAGAAGACCTACATGCTTATGCGAGAACACTACCATTGGTCAAAGATGGAACGAGATGTGGAGCACTACATCAAACGGTGCGCTGTTTGCCAAACTGCCAAGAGCCACTCATTAGCCCAAGGAAAATATCTTCCCCTCCCCATCCCCACGGCACCATGGGAAGATATTAGCCTCGACTTCATCACGGGGCTGCCTAGGACACAACGAGGGAAGGGCTCAATCATGGTCATGGTAGACCGGTTTTCAAAGATGGCCCATTTCGTGCCATGTCTAACCACACATGATGCTTCACAAATCGCTGATCTTTATTTTCGAGAGATCGTCAAGTTACATGGAATTCCCCAAAGCAAGGTATCGGATCGAGATAGCAACTTCCTTAGCCATTTTTGGATGACACTTTGGAGAAAGATGGGAACCAAGCTCAAGTTTAGCACCTCTCACCACCCTCAAACTGACGGTCAAACAGAAGTGACCAACCGAACTCTCGGTACGTTGCTACGGGTGCTTATCAAGAGGAATATAAAGCAATGTGTTATACCCCTGGATGGCTCCACCAAAATCCCAACCCCTCCCAACATATCCAAAAGTCTTTTATCTTTTCTTTTATCCAAAATAAAGCCTTTGCCATCTATTTTAATCCCTGGTCAATGATAAAAAACCAAAACCTTTTATTTGTTGTTATTTCTCTTCTTTTAATAAACAAATAAAAACCTTCTCTCCCTCCCTTTGAATCCCTGGCCAAAAAAATATCCCTCTCAATCCCAACACAACACCCACAAAGAGCCAAAACCATGACCCACCTCCAGCCCCTACTTCCTGCCCATGTTCCCTCACAAATAACCCAAACCCATAAGTCCAAAACCATCCCTAAAATTACCCAGCCCTGTCCCCCTTTGTTTGCCAAACACAATACCCCATTTTGCCCAAATAATAGCCACAACACTCCCAAGAAACAACCACTACAAACCAAACCATACAACCCCACAACACCAGCCCCACAGAGTACAACCTATCCCTGATTTTCTCCCCACCAAAGGGACAACAACAAGTCGAGGTCATGCTATTCATTTAGGAGAAGAATATAGGAAGTTTCCTTATGTCTACATTCAATTTATTGTGTATTTCTTCCCCCTTCCCCTGCATATATATAATTAGGCCATATGGCCATTGTAACACACAATCTTTTGAATATTAAAACTCCTTTTACTCTTTGAGTATTTATAGAATAGTGTGATGCTATTTTAGCCAAATCCCTAATTCTATATCTTAAGAGTGGTTATCTTAAGTGTGAGTTTTGGGTTCTAGGTATTTGATTAAGTGTGTCATATCTTAATTAAATTCTAGATTCAAACCCCAAGTGAGGACAAGAGTGTGTAATATCTCTTAAACACCAACTTGGTTTATCCATCCCTCATTTTCTTCCATTCCATATCTCCACATTTCTCCTCTTAACCTTATTCTTTTCTTCCATTAAAAACACCCAAAAGAACTCCTTTATCGTCTCCATATATTTCCATCAATTTCCCCACAAAAACACCCTTCTTCCTGCCCAGAATCACTGCCAAATAATCGATTATCATTCTCCACAATCGATTATCAGTTCAATTTGAAACACCCGCAAGTAGCAATAATCGATTACCCTTTTAAGATAATCGACTATGGCTCTTTCCCAGAAAATCTGCGGCCTTCAATAGTCGATTGTCACTTCTTGTAAATCGATTATTTACCTCTCCTGAAACTTCCGAAGCTCCTCCTGAGAAACTGAATCACTTGACAATTGATTATCCTACTTGGAAAATCGATTATCCACCCTTCCTGCAAATCGAAGAGCTTTGCTCCTTGCTTTTCAAACTAAATACTGACACCCCCGGGTCTCGGGTATAACACAATGGGAAGAACTACTGCCCCATGCAGAGTTTGCATATAACCGGACACCAAGCAAAACAACCGGATTTTCTCCATTCATGGTTGTTTACGGCTCAAACCCCCTTACCCCACTCGAACTTGATCCTATTATGATAAAGCAGAAATACATTGCGGAAGCCGAGGAACGAGCTAAAGAGATTCAAGACCTTCATGCCAAGGTACGAGAGAAGATTGAAGCCACCAATGAGAGAGTGAGTGCGCGCATCAACAAAAGAAGGAAGTCTGCCGAATTCAAACCTGGAGACTTAGTTTGGATTCACCTCAGAAAAGAGTGTTTCCCCACGAAACGCAAGTCCAAGCTACTACCCCGAGCGGACGGTCCCTTTGAAGTACTAGAAAAGATCAATGACAACGCCTACAAGATCAACCTACCCGGAGAATATGGAGTCTCCGCCACGTTCAACATTGCCGACCTCAGTCCCTACTTTGAGCCAGAAGATATTCCGAGTTTGAGGTCAAACTCTTTTGAAGAAGGGGAGGATGATATACCCTGGGATGCACCTTCACACACGCCACTAGCGTTACAACAAGTCAAGTGTTTAATGTCTAGGTGTTATGATCCATTTTGGGTTGAACTCATTGACACGTCCCACATTTAAGCCCGAACCATGACCCTTCTCTCCCAAAACCCAACCTAGGCCGAAATGCCTACAAGCCCAACACACTCCCACATATCCAAAAGTATTTCATTTTCCTTTAATAACCAAAATAAAATCCTTCTCCTCCCTTTGAAGCCATGGCTGAAAATCCAAGAGATAAGGACAAACAAAATTGCTTTGTGTGTGTTGTTTTCTTTCCTAATATTCCCTACTTTGAATAAAACCTTCCCCCACCTTTCCCTACTTCAAACCCACAAAAATACATTCCCTTTTGGCCTTAGAATCCATCTCCATTCATCCCAATCCATTACAAAACACAAAAGACCAAATCAGGAGACAAGGATTAAACACGCCTTTTGTCTTGGTGTGAAAATCATTCAAAACCATCCCCCCCTCACTTTCCTTGTCCCATGGCCGAATTCCTCCCCCCAAACATCCCCCAAATCACTTCTCAAACCTATAATAAGGCCAAATGAATAAACAACCAATCCCTTGATGTATCACATACCTTACTTTGCATAAATGGGCAAAATGACACACTCCCTCACCCTACCCTTCACATGGCCGAATTTTCCCACCCAAAGACAGCCCATTTCACCACCATGAACCCCTTTTAGCCTTGATCAATGAGGACAACCTATGGGATCCATCAAATAGACATTATGCACTTGAATTGTAGGAAAGAGTGGTGAAGTTTCCTTGCTGTTTTCCCTATATACACTACAAAAAACTTGACATTTTGTGGTACCAAATTTTGCCACAAAACATAAAAAATTAGCCACAATAGTTATTTGTAGCAATTTTGGAATTTGCCACAAGGTTGCCACGGATACCCCGTTACAAAAGGTATTTGTGGCAAATTTAAATTTTCCACAAAAATTATAGTTTTTGTGGCAAATTATGATTTGCCACTAATAAATATTTGCCACAATTTATTATTTGCTACAAAAAGTCATATTTAGTAGCAAATTTATGATGCCACAAATTATACTTTGCCACAAAAATCCATGTTTAGTAGCAAATATTAATTGCTACAATTATCACTTTTTTGTGGCAAACCTAATATTAGTAAGAATTAATAAATTATTATATATATATATATATGTTTATATATATATATATATATATTTGTATTGTACATAAATTTTACATTTAATAATACATGCAAAGTGATGTAAAATAATTATAAAAACAAAACATATATATATGCTACTCATAATTCAATCCCAAACTATCAAAGGTTCACAATTGTTAATATACTAGGGTTTTTCCATAAAATAAATATAGTACTAAACATGACAATTTGTTATAGTATCATAAACGTTTAACATCTAAACTTCATTTTTTCATTTCATCTTGTCACATCTATCTCGAATGTAATTCCACCCAAAGTCATAGAAACTGAATGGCAGCTTTCATATTCACCCTTGATCTGCATATTAAAAAATAAAATTAATAAAGAAATAATCTAGTAAGACAAATTAAATAGTGTTTAAAATGAACATAGCAACCAGAGCTAAAGGCATGATCAGATATCTATGGGAAATATACAAAAGAGTTAAATGACACTAATAATAAATATTAGTGTTATTTATTAAATTTTACTTCAAAGAAATGTATGTACAATATTATACGTAATAACCAAAGAATTCTAAGAAAATAAAACTCTAAAACTCTAAGAAAATAAAACTGTAATTATAAGGGACCATGTTTGTACTGTCCTTGTATGCTTTGCAAGACATTTAGAGGTTACTCAGACACTGAAATATAACGCCACATTTCATAAGCTAAAACCAATCAAAGTTAGGTTCAAAGTTTCAAGTCTGCACTACAAACTCAACCACCAAAGCAAGCGGTGTAGTAGATAGGAACTGAAGATTCAAAATTGACTGCCTCTGCAATTCTGGATGCTGAATGTAGTGACCCAAATTATCATTATTGAGTGGGAAAAAGGCAGAGATGAAACAGGCAGTTACTTCAAATGGATTGACATCAGACCAATCAAACATATTTTGCATGACAAATAGTGCAGAAAACAAGGCCACAAAATGTACAAAGTGGCAAACTGTACAAAGTGATTCACCACAAAATGAAAGCAGCTAATTAAGTGGGAAGCCAATGAGCAACAGTAATAAATATTTCATAGATGAATCAGTACCTTGTATCATTCGAGGGGGTTATGCTCCTTGGAAGTGAAATGAACATACTGAGATGAATTACCTGATGCCCTGTATACAAAAGATAGCTAGGCCGATAAACAGTAATCATATGCATCTAAAAATACATAAAAATGTACGAGCTTCATAAGTTTCATTAATTTCAGACACTCTTTTATTCACTTCAGTATCAATCCTCTCTTGCTCAAGAACCTTTGTAATATCCTTCTTCACATAAGAATGAAATGACAAAACTCCTTGTCCCATGCCCCTTTGATGATTTGACCCTTTTTTATGTTTAAGGAAAATCTCAAAAGCCTCTTGTGGAGTGAGATTATCTTCTCCATATTTATCCAGTTGTTCCTGATGCAATGCTTTGAGATTATCATATGCTTGCTCTGCATACTCATCCGACCAAGTGCCATTTTTACGTTTCTTAGACATTTCCCATAGGGCCAAATAGTATGGTTCGTCTTCCACGTGTTCAGTTTCTGATAGATTCTCTTCATCACACTCATCTGAATCTGGTTTCTTTGCTTGTAGCTAAAATTTTAAAGATTGTGTTAATCATAGGGAATGTAAAAAATCTAATTTCCTACCAATAGTAACCTATGAATTGAAATATTAAATGAACTTCAAAAGAAATAGAAACATTAAATGCAAAGATATTTTACCATATCGTAGAAGGAACTTGCAATTGATTTTGTGCCAACTTTAGACAACATTGTTTGAGACTTCTGATTATTTTTGTTTGTCTCACTGCGTCGCTGCAATTCCAAACACGAAAAGGAAAAACTAACCATGCTTAAAAGATGAATATTGTTTTTCATTTAATGTTTGCATGGCCATGGGAAGAACAGAACTAACAAGTATCTCTACGTACCCTAAACTTTTCACTATCCCAATAACTCACCAACCATTTCCATTCTTCAGGATCTACTTCACTAGGACAATTAGCAAGACGACCAGCAACTGTTGGATGATCAGAATAGGCTTTTTTTCTCAAATCATAACGCCACTTTCTATACCAGGTGTTTGCTCGCCTTTTGATTGTTTTTTCCACATGATGCCCTTCAGGCAATTTAAATAATTCCTACATATAATAAAAGTGTTAATCTCCATCTCTATGATCATTATCTAAACAATAACATATTTAAATAGCAACCTTTAATTTCATGAAATACTTTCGTTTTTTATCGGGATGTATATGACCCCAATCCTCTACATCCAAAGGCATGCATTGCTTCATCAAATAACTCGCTTCACTAATAAATTGAGTGCTGTTCATCCCGACAACACGATTAAGCTCAGGTGGGATTTCAATCTCCACTTTGTTTGGAATGATATCCCTTTTTCTCTTCCAGTTTTGACATTTTGTTTTCCCACGAAGTACTGGAGTAGCTAGAACAATGACATCAACAAAAGTTAATGACAATTATTAGGCAGAGAAACAAACTATTAAATTTGAAATGACTACCTTGTCAATAAACTATATACTTTCAAAAAATTCATTATTAGTCTACTATTTCTATTCATGTACTAGCAAGCATGTGAAAAACTTAAATGAAAAAAAGCGATAACAAACCTTGTTGTACGGATGAGTTCATACGATTTTCATCTCCAACACTTGTATTCATTAAGATATTGGTAGTGCTACTACCTATATATGACAGTTCAATAATACATATACAATTACTAAGTCTATGTCGGCAAATTGTAATTAGAATGAACTACAACGAGAAGAAATAAATAGAAATGATCCACTACCTCTTTCATGGACTGGGAGAATTTCTCTTTGTGAAGTCCTTGATCTTGTTATTGGGGCTTGTCTTTTAAATGAAACTCCATCCATGTCTCCAGGAGTCCGATATTCGTGAAGGCCTGCTACTTCAGACACACATCTTTCATCTAATAAATAAGAAGAGAATAAATCACACATTTTTAAAATCAAAACAAAATATAGGTTTGTTATCAGGGTCCACAAAACTTATTAAACTCTAGAGACAAATGCCAGACAGTGCATTTTTGAATGATCACCATGTTTGATATGTATGCTGGTGAGAATTTATTTAGAACTGATACTAAGTATTCACTGCCCCTTCTTGAGAGACCACAAAATCTCTCTGGAAACCATTTCCTTTTAGAAAGTAAGTCCCCTGCTGGCAGCATCTCAATAAATTGGGGTAAGAGATGTGCATCATATAGAGTGGGACACTATTGATGTAAATAACCAGAGTAATTGGGACAAAACGGAGAGGAGCTTGGTCTCATTTTCGGAACAATCTGTTCTAGAAATGTACCCTGAGAAAATGTACCCTGAGAGACCACTACCTCTTTCATGGACCCTGAGAAAATCTCTCTGTGAAGTGGTTGATCTTGTTGGTGGTGCTTGTCTTTCAAATGCACCTCCATCGAAATTACTTCCATGAGTATGATGTTGGTTAAGGCTTTCTACTTCAAACATACCTGTTTCTTCTAATAAATTACAAGAGAATAAACAATGTATTTTTATTAATCAAGCCAATATATATAAAGTGAAATGAATTTTTTTATTAGAAAATAGCATACTTGCTCTAATAAGTAATAACATGGCATACTAGAATAAAATTATATTGAATGAACCACTACCTCTTTCATGGACTCTAACAAAATCATTCTGTGAAGTGGTTGATCTTGTTATTGAAGCTTGTCTTTCAGATGCACCTCCATTCAAATTATATGCATGAATGCGATGTTGGTTAAGCCTTTCTACTCCAGACACACCTGTTTCTTCTAATGACAACAAGGGAAGAATGTTTTTATAAAATCAAACCAACATATAGCGTAACACAAATTTTATTAGAAAATGGCATACTTCCTCTAGTAATATGCCCCATACTTGTTGCAAGGTTGGTCATTTCCGGATTCGAAGAGGCTTCAAACATTTCATCTAATATAAATCAAAAAAAATTATATTTCACTAACTGTCACGGTAAAATACTTTGAATTAATATACCTGTAGTTCACTTACCAGAAAAGATCATTTGAGTATGAGGCTTAGAACTTGAGGTTTGTCGAGAGATTGGGTTTTTAAAAGAAGTCTTCAATGTGCTGTTTTTCTTTAAGGCAATACTCTCATCATCTTTAGCATGCATTCTCTCCTCGTTTGTTGGAACATACTCATCATCCCCATCAGCAACATTATTCTCAATAACATTTGTTTTGACTCTTTTCAATGATGAACCTAACGCAGGTATCCCAAGTTCCTGAAACCTCTTATTGTTTCTTTCAATATTGAGTTCCCTCTGCCTTTCATAATCTGTTGTCTTCCGCATGGTAAAGATATCCTTGGATGACATCTGATTTTTGTTAGATCTTGCTTTACTTCTCAAGCTATCACCTGTGATATACATACGTTCTCTAAACCAGGAACATATTAGTATACTTATATTTATTACATAAATGAACAATTTACTGTGATATTACACGAGAACACAAGCAAAAAAGTGAAATAATGCTGTTGAAAATAGTATGCAGTAGGCACAATCTAAGTATCGAAAAGAACAAAATACTTATATTAGTTTTCTAATTTTATACTAATAATTTTAAAAAACTAATAAATGTATAATTAATCACTCAAAATCTACTTCATTTAAAAAAAGTGGAAAATCATCTTCATCACTTGAGCTTGAGCTGGAGCCACTCCCATCATTAGGAACTACTGTTTTTTGTTTCTTGTGGTGACGTTGCTGCTGTTGAGTCATAGCATTGGCATCCACTACAATAGGATCCACATCATCCCTTACTAATGATGTTATTCTTTGAGAATCCGTTGGGATATATGCATCTTCAGTGTCCATAGATGGTTCTATGAAAAATGTGTCTTCTTCATCTTCTTCAGGTACATCGTAAAAGCTACGTGGATTTGTTTTCAAAACAACTCGCCAATTTCGATGTGCATGATCATTCACATAGTACACTTGTTGCACTTGAGAAGCTAAGACATAAGGCTCATTCGTTTTAAGATATCGACTAATATTAACCGAATTTATGCCAAATGTGTCTGTTTTTATTCCAAGATTTTCAGCAAACACATCATACCACTCACATTTAAATAGAACCACCTTGTGTTTACTATCATACTCAAGTTCGACCACCTCATTTAGCACACCATAGAAATCTTTCCCACCACTATGCACATCACCCTTTACCATGACACCATAATTTTGTGTGGTAAGAGACATTCCTCGTGCTTTTGAATGAAATCTAAATCCATTCACAATGCATCCACTGTAACTTATAACCCTTTTCAAAGGACGTTGTGCCAAAACTAGTAGATCATAACTTGCTTTTTTATCATGTTGATTCCATAATTGAGTAATCTAGGAAAGCAAAGAAAATAAAAAGTTATATTAATAATTTTAGAGAGATTTTATTGATTAGTTCTGTACACTATGCATAGTTAAAAAGTAGACTTACTCGACTTTCAAACCACTCCGGGAAACTAGATGCGCGAGATGGATGTGGATTTTTACTTTCGTACTCCCTAAAAGTAGATCATAAAATTTTATCTTTTTACAATCATAATCCAATTCAGTTTATACATATTATACCTATAATATGTAGTTTTATTAAAGATTCCTTACTCAATGAAAGGATGAACATCCTTACAGTTCCTTAGCACATAAAGATGAGCACGTTCCCAATCTTCAAAAGATAATGATTTGACAACGCCATGCCCAATAGTTTTTCCAAATTTTGAGAAAACTGATATGACTTGATGGTGTGTTTTACCACCATCCTCATTCCTTTCAAGGCGGTTAAATCTTGTCTCAGCCCTATGCAAATACCTCGAGCAGAAAGTAAGACATTCGTCTGCAATATATGCTTCGGCTATTGAACCTTCAGGTTGAGCTTTATTACGAACAAATTCTTTCAATGTGTGCATAAGCCTAGTCATAAGCCAAATATGATATAATAAATAAATAAGTTCCTACAAATTAATGTTAAGTTTTATGAAAAAACATAATAACGGATAATGATACCTCTCAAATGGGTACATCCAACGATATTGAACTGGACCTGCAAGCTTAGCTTCAGTAGCTAGATGAATTGCTAAGTGTACCATTATGTCAAAGAAAGATGGAACAAAGACTCGCTCGAGCTTGCATAGAGTTATAGCAATACTCTTCTCTAGCTGCTCTAGAACATCAACCTTCAAGGTCTTGGAGCACAAGTATTTGAAAAATAAGGACAACTCCACAAGAGGTTCATACACATCTTTATCCAATATTCCACGAAATGTAGGCGGAAGCAAATCTTGCATAAAGACATGATAGTCATGACTCTTTAAGGTTCCTATGAATTTTCCCTCGCTAACATTCACACATCGACTAATATTCGAAGAATATCCATCTGAAACCTTTAGATCGGCTAGGAAACTACAAACACTTTTTCTTTATGCCAAAGTCAACTCAAATTTGGCTTTAGGAATTTCATATTTATCTCCCACCTTCTTAGGGTGTAAGCTGTTTTTTATTCCCAATTGTACCAAATCCAAGCGAGATTTTAAATTATCCTTGGTCTTTCCTGGTATATTCATCAGAGTACCTAATATGCTTTCACATATATTTTTCTCTATATGCATTACATCTAGGTTATGACGTACCAAGTTTTTGCTCCAATATGGTAATTGAAAGAATATACTTTTCTTCTCCCAATTATAAATTAACTTAGGCTTTGTTCTCTTCCTCTTCCCTGGAGTTTTACCAAACATAAAGTTCTCTCTATCACCAATTTGGTCAAGCACATCATCCCCAGACAATGGCTTAGGAAGAGGATCCATTTCTACAGTTCCATCAAAAGATTTCTTATCAAATCTCCACCTATGATTAGCATCTAAATATCTTCGATGGCCCATATAGCATTCTTTGCTCCAATGTGACAAATGTTGTGACCTTGTATCTTTATTACAGAGAGGGCAAGCGAGGCGACCTTTAACACTCCAGCCAGATAAATTTCCATAAGCGGGAAAATCATTTATTGTCCACATTAAAGAGGCATGTAAATTAAAGTATTCAGCTTTGTAAGCATCATAGGTATTTACCCCATCTTCCCATAACAATTTAAGCTCATCAATCAAAGGTTGTAAATAAACATCAATATCAGTTCCGGGAGACTTTTTACCAGGAATTATCATATTCAACATCGTATATGGCCTCTTCAAACACATCCAAGGTGGTAAGTTGTAGGGAACTAAAACTACAGGCCAAATGCTATAAGTTGAGTTTAAATTAGCATAAGGAGTAAAACCATCGGTGCATAGACCCAGCCTCACATTGCGAGCATCTGAAGCAAAACAAGGAAATGATTTATCAAATGTCTTCCAAGCCATAGCATCCGCTGGATGACGTAAAATCCCATCATTCAAACGTTTTTCCTTGTGCCACCTCATTTCAAATGCTGTTTTACCAGACATAAACAACCTTTGCAGCCTAGGTATAAGGGGAAAGTAGCGTAATATCTTGTAAGGTACATTAGATGATTTTCCTCCTTTTTTATTCTCATCATCAATATCATCACAAACTTCCCTCTTTTCTTTCCACCTAGGATGAGCACACTTTGGGCATTTATCCAAATTTGCATATTCTTTCCAATAAAGTATGCAATCATTTTGGCAAGCATCAATTTTTACGTAGTTAAGTCCAAGTTGGCGTGTGTATTTTTTGGCTTCATATGCATTTTTTGGAAAAGTATCGTCAAAGTCAAAAGCATTTTTAAGAAGCTCCAATATCATGGTCAATGATTTGTCACTCCATCCACATAGACACTTGATATGGAGAATATGAACTATAAATTCAAGCTTTGAAAATTTTTCACTACCTGGATATAGTTCTTTCTCAGCGTCCCTAACAAGCTTACCAAATTTCTCAAGCAACTCTGTTGACTCACTAATCTCTGGATCACTTAACCTTTCAAGTTCATTCACTATGTTAAATGCTCTAGTATATGTCATGTCATGTAGCATGGCATATGATTCATCAACATCTTCTATTGTGGGCTGTTTAGAATTTAGGTTATTGCCTTCTGTTGTTTCAACTCCACTATTATCACAGTTTTCTTCATGCGTAGACTTTTCACCGTGAAAATCCCATGGATTATAACTTCTAACTATTCCATCATTTAACAAATGAGGAGAACCGTTTTTCTATTTTGATGGTTATAGTTGTCACAATTTACGCAAGGACATCTTATCTTTCCTTCTTTTGATGCATGAGCAAATGCAAAATCCAAAAAATCCTTAACCCCATTTATGTATTCTGGCTTTGTTCTACAGCTATATGTCTTCCAATTCATCCAACTTCTATCGTTATTCATTCTAATTAAATTAAAAAAAAAATTGATTAGCTTCTCAATTTTAAAAGTATGATAAGTAATACCTCAATCATTATAATTTAAAAATCATATACAAAACATTTAACGTGTAGTAATTTACTAAATAATAAACACCAAAGGATATAAAAAAATTCTTAGCAATAAAGCTATAATGAATTGTATGATAATTAAAAAAAATAGTGAGCATACCTGGAAGACATAATTGTGCACTTGCAAAGAGGTAGTTATCTTGAACAGAAAATGATTTCCGATGCAACCTTAAAGCATAATCAAGTCATGTATAACAATTAGCTCATATAAAGCACAAGTATGGTAATCAAGCCTACTCTATGCTAAACTTGTACATTCTATTTCCTCTCAAACCTATTACATGATGTTGGAAAACAATGACATAGTTCATAATATAATTCATTAATAGGGGCTCCTAAAAAAACAAAGGTGAAGATTTCCTATGCAGCTTTTTATCTCAAGAACTTTTATGGGCAGGTTCACTTTGCCCTATTGAAACACTTCTAATTGATTCAATCGCAGCCCCCATAGTAGATTCTCAGGTACCGCGCAGCACTCCCCTCGGGCAGTGGGGAGGTTCATGGTACTATGGAGGCCACGACCATACTCCCCTGTGTTTCTTGTATTTGTATGTTTTGTAACTGATCCATTCATGTACTTGGTTTTCTTTGGCCGGTTTGCCACCCCTCTCCTGTACTCCTCTTTTCTTAATAAAATTCTTTTCATTAAAAAAACATTTAACTTTTGTGGATATGATTGGAAAAGCCAAATTATGGTTCGATAGTTATGCGATGGGCAGACCTAACATCAATTTGGAGGATTTTGTGGTAGGTCTGAGTTCTACATTCAGAGATAATCAAGGATCAAAACATAGCTTTAATTGGGAGGATTTTGTGGAAGATCTAAATTCTAGGTTCAGAAACGTTCTAGGTTCAAAAACCAGCAAATAGAAAGCGTGGAGGATGTTGGCAAGTGTGAAAAACCGAAAGCTGTTATGACGCTGAAGAGTCAATCACTAACAGGGGATTAAATTTTGGACAATGTTGTAAGAGGATTCAAGCCCCGTCGTAAGGCCAATGTAGGGACCTTTAACCCTGGATCCTATGCAAAACCTGAGGAGTATGCTAGTGGCCAAGAGGAAACAAGATAAATTAAGCCAATATTCAACATCAGTAAGGCCTTACTCCCAACACTTAGGGTTATTCCAGATGAAATAGAAGAGCAAGGCAGGCTGGTTAAGCTAGTATGTGACAGGCATAGAGGCTCTCTTCATATTAAATCTGTTAGTTTATCCATAGAAAGGTTCATACCAAATGAGGTCGGAGCCAAGTTTATGCCTGCTGCAAGTGTGGTTAATACCACGAGTAGTCTAGTTGCAAGTGGACTATGATGTTATGATCACAAGGCCTTTGAGAGGGGTCAAAAATACGTTAAGAAGAGGGCTGAACTAGTTGTAGAGGGGGATGAAGTTGCTAAATCAGAGGAAAAAATAATACATACTGGATCAAATAAATAGAGGCAGCTATTTAATTTAACAAAAACCCAATTTGTCACAAGTACAAGGATGGTGACTCTGCCTACCTTGGACTAGTTCAACCTTTGCAAGTTCCTACTGAAGTTTGGAAAGATGTCTCTAGAAGGAGGGCTTTAGGAATTCGATACTACCAAATAAGGGTTGTAGCAGCTAGCCAATTCACATAGATCTGACAAGGATTTTGTATGTAGAGATTGGGCTTGACTTGAATTACAATCCTAAAATAGAGTAGTGTGTAACAAACAAGTCTTGAGATGAGGGGACCAAAGTATATTGGGCCTCCCCAAACCATCACCTGCAAGGAAAGAGTACCAAATAGTATGGAATCTCATCCCAGGTCAATCTTCATGCCGTAAGTCACGTTTCTCAGCTTAAGGTCTTCAAGGGTGAGCTGCCTACAATTCCAAACTTTTCCATTGGTTTCAAGACATTGATTCCAAGAACCAACCTCCACCGGAAACTTTTAAAAAAGTTCAAAGGAAAGTCTAGAAGGCAGGGATACAATTTTGTATAAATGCTGCTTATCCAGAATCATTCATGATTCTGCTTCTGCCGTTGCGAGTGGACTAGCAAAGAAAGATGACAAGAAGGGTGCTGTCGTGTATAACAGATATTATCATGTTTTCAGTGAAGGTGAACTAGAAAGGTACATCCTGCCCATTTAGTTTGTCTTGGCTAATAAATGCTAATGATGTTGTTCCTTTTATTTCTTTAGCATATTAACACTTATCATCATTACTTTTATTTTTAAAGCACTTTAAGGGTTACAAGGTAGTTTATATGGCCTTTTAGCTGATTTTACTTTGTTTACTGCTTTTGTACTTTGAAAGTAGAGATCAATGTCAATAAACCAGACAAGGTGAAAATGCTCAGATAATAGCTTAAATCAGTTAAATGGGTAAAATATTAGCATGCGGAGTGCCATTTTGAATGATACTGTGATCTGTTACGAGTAACCGTCATTCGGCATTTTTTTGGGTGAACGTGCTGCAATGACCTAAATGAAGTTTTCTAAACTTGAGATGACCTAAAAATTCACATCGTATTAGTAATATGATGAAATGATATCTTAAGTATGAAACTTAACTACAGAGTACTTTTTACCACACTATTTGACCAAAATATATGGAAAAGAGTGGTGAACAAAGTGACATTACGGTCTGTGACAACGGGAGCATAGCATAACATTAAGACCAGATATTGATTCCAATAAATCCAGAATCATTCATGATTAACCATAGACTGAGATCATGGCTATGAAAAAACAAGCAGAAGAAGAATAAGAGGGAGGAATTTTGATTCAAAAATAAAAACACCTTTATGATATTCACTCTTACTGAACAAAATAAAATTTCTTAAACTATGGGAATTTTAAACCAAAATTCACTGAGATTATGACAATGAAAAACAATTAGAGGAAGAACAAGGATGGATACTGATTAAAAACTCAAAATCCATCTAGGATATTCACTCTTATAGAACAAAAAAATTCTTGAATAATTGAAATTTAAAATCAAGATTCAACTATGAAGAGTGAACACATCTGAATTCATATTTCTTAAACAACGAGAATTTATACTAAAACACAAACAAAAACTTGAATATTTTTAAGAATAAATACCTAGCTCCGGAGTTTGGGTGTGTCGTCGTTCCAGAATCGAAGAAACTAGCGTGTCCAGAATGAGATATAGGCTATTGCGCTGCAGCAATTGCAATATTCTCCGTATATTACAATCGTCTCTCGCTTCTGGGCTTCAAATCGTTTTGGCGAGAAGATAGACACAGCCTTACACGGCAGACCTAAATTATGGAGGGATTAATATTTCACAATTTGGGTTAGGCGGGATTAGGAAAATAAGTAAATAACTTCCATAAATTTGCCCTCTTATAGCATCTCCAACCCTATTAAAATGACTTGCTATATATACTACAATTTGACAAATTAAGTAAAATTTCATACTCCAAGGGGCTTGCTAATGTTTGACAAGCTTGCTTAAAAATGAAAATGGCTTGCTACTAATAACAAACTTGATAAAATATAGCAAGCCAAAAAAAAGAAGAAAAATGTTGGTTGGGTTAGTTTTTTCATGTGCCATGACGCATTTGTTCCCTCACTTTCAGTACCACAACGCAAGAAAAATTAACAAATATTATTTTATGTTTTTTACATTTTTTTTATTTTTTAACAAAAAATTATAAAATTTATTTTATCTTAAGTTTAAATTGCATACTTGTAGAATATTAATTAATTTTTATAATAAAATTTTAAAATTATAATAAATAGTGTACTCTAATAGTAAAATCAATACATTTTTGCTAAATTATAACAAGCAAAGGTTGGAGAGGATCATGTAAAATGACTTGCTATACCACTATTCACATGTTAATAAATAACTTTAGCAAGCCATGTTTAGCAAGCTTGATTGGAGATGCTCTTAATATGTTCCCTCCACACTTATTTAGATTTAGTGGCATATTTATAAAATTGCTACAATAAGTATACTATTTTGTGGCAAATTTTAAATTGCCACAAATATTTATAGACTATTCATGTATTGTGGCAATTATTAACTTTGCTACTAAAATTTAGCCACAAAAAGTCATTTTTTTTGTAGTGATATTTCGGCCCTATGGCCTTGTAAAACTCATTCATTGTATTCCATTTCTTTACTCTTTGAAGTAATATTTGAGTTGGGGTGAAGCTAATTCTCTCAATTTCCTAATGAAATATCTCTAAAGTTGGCTACTTTTGAGTGTGTGTTAGGAGTCTATTTCATATAATAATAGTGAATATTATTGTGTGAAAAGAAACAGCCCCAAATAAAATAAGAGTGTGTTTATCTCTTATTCATTATTTGGTTTATTCTTATACAACAAAAACCACAAAAGAACTCCCTCTTTCTCTCCCAATTTCGTCCATCCCCTTTCTCCCATTTAAACACTTCATTTCTTCATCAAAAACCACTCCTTAGTATTGCTTTTCTCCTGCCCTTCATTCTGCCCTATCACCTCTTCCAAACAACCATACTTTCTTCACCATTTCATACACAAATCCAACCTATTCTTCACCATATATTCCCCTCTATAATCTGCCCTTATTTATCCATAGCTTTTCCTAAGCTTGGGTACATCAACGTGCCCCTCTCCCCCTTCGCCCGTGGCTTATATAAGGAGGGAACTTTCATAATGATCCTTGCACCAAAGTCCAACATTTCATAACTTTCCCTCTTCTATGTTGGAACACGGGTTTACGCCTACGTCGTACTAAACCGTGTTCATTTTATGACAAGTTTTGATAATGCCAAACCACCATGATAACAAGATTAAACTAAGCAAATCAAAGGAGAAGGAACATGGCATGATGAATTGAGAACCGAGAACCAAAAACCAAGAACGAAGACTTAGAAATAAATTGAGTCGGTCTTAATGTGATCAAGACCGGCACAAACTTCTAAACTTGGCTCTCTAGGCTCATTCCATTAAAATATTACTTTGCATATTCAAAAATGTTTTTCATAATTTTTAAACAAGCCTAAAACACTTGGTGCTCGCCCAAACCAAAAACCAAGCCATCCGGCGTTTGGTTTTCAGAAACCGGCGTCCGGCATTCGGTTATCAACGTTGGTTTTTGGCGTCCGAACCAACCAAGTGGTTTTCAACATTTTATGATTGGTTTTTACTTCTGGGCATATTTAAATAGTTATCCAACAAAAACGCTTCAAAAACCACCTCTCGTTTTTGGTCGTTTAGTAAAAACCATGTGAAACAGCGTAAACTTGGCTAGCCGTGGTTTTTATCTAAATGACGTGATTTTCAAGATATTTCACTTGATTTCTTAGCAAAATGCATTAAACAAATGTTTTCAATACTTGTTTTTTGTTTTGGAGAACTTAGATTTTTGACATCAGCTAACGGCATGACTAAATCAACCATGGGTTTGGCTAAACCAGCCTAACAGCGTTGTCTGGCATGGGCAGCTGAAAACCATGGTTTGGCGTTAAGTCTTCTAACAGCGATGTTGGCTTATGGACATCGTTGTTGAGCCAAGGTTGGGTTTCTAGAAACATCTGGAACAGCGATATAGACTTCTCTACATCGATGTCCAACCTAAGCCAAAAAGAAATGCCTCTGGCAGAAAGTTTTTGGACAGCGCTGTTGACCCAGCAACAGCAATGTCAAGCCATTTCTTCATCCTTCAAAGTTAGGCCTGAACAGCTATGTTCAAGGAATGAACATCGATGTAGGCACCTAACCGTTGGAAGGAATTTATGGCTAAAACTTTCTATGTTTGGAAGTCAATAGCTTGACTGTTGCTTCCCATTTTCAAAAACTAAGCCTAGAACATCGATGTCCAAGCCATGGACAGCGCTGTCTGGCTGATTTTTAGCAGATCCAATTTTAATCAAATCCCACACATTGTGCCAATCACCCCCATTCAACTCCTACCCATTGGAGCCTATTTTTCTACTATAAAATAGGGTGTTTGGGTCTCCTTTACACATCACATTACTTCACAACTCTTATTATTCATTGCATTACATTCATACATTATTCATAGCTTTTTGAGAGCCATTTTTGTGAAGTTCGTGTTGTGTTCTTGAGCATTCTTAGTTACTCATTATCCACTCTAAAAGAGAGTATTGTTCTTGAGTGATTTAGTGTTCTTAAACACTTGATAAAAGAAAGCTTTTCTCTTGAGTAGTTCAAAGGAAGGGTTGTTTCCTTCGAAGGTTTGTTGAGGTTCGTGTGACTCGAACTCTCAAGTTGTACGGGTTTGTTAAGCAGCGTTAAGCTTAATGTTGATAGTGTAGCTCGAGAGAGTCTCTCGGGAGGCTGGATTAGCCACAAGTTGTGGTGAACCAGGGTAAATTCGGTGTGTCTCTTACTCTCCTCTTTACTTCTCCTTTAAATTTTTTATTCCTGCGATTTCTACGATCAAACACTATTTACCCCCCCTCTAGCGTTGGTCTTTTATTCTAACAATTGGTATCGGAGCCTAACTCGCATCCAAACTTAACCGTTTGAGAGAAAAGCGATCATGGGTTCTTCTTCTAGAAATCTTTATGCAGGGATTGGAGAAAGTCAATCAACCTCTAGGCCACCACTCTTCGATGGCACCAACTACACATATTGGAAAGAGCGGATGAGAATTTATATCCGCTCAACCAACTTCCAGTTGGGGTTGGTCATCAAGAACGACGAAGAAACGCCAATGAAGAAGGTTGGGGAGAAACTCGTCCCAAAGACCGAGGACGAATTTGATGCCGAAGACATCAAAAAGGTGGAGAACTACGCTAAGGCAATCAATATGCTTTACTGCTGTTATACCCCTGGATGGCTCCACCAAAATCCCAACCCTTCCCAACATATCCAAAAGTCTTTTATCTTTTCTTTGTCCCAAAATAAAGCCTTTGCCATCTATTTTATTCCCTGGTTAATAATAAGAAACCAAAACCTTTTGTTTGTTGTTATTTTCCTTCTTTTAATAAACAAATAAAAAACCTTTTCTCCCTCCCTTTGAATCCCTGGCCAAATATCTCTCTCAATCCCAACACAACACCCACAAAGAGCCAAAACCATGACCCACCTTCAGCCCCTACTTCCTACCCATGTTTTTCCTTACAATAACCCAAACCCATAAGTCCAAAAATCACATTATTCCCTTCCCCTCTTCCCTTCACTCTTGGCCAAGAATCCCTGCCCACAATCCATGTCACAGCCCCCACAATTGTTCCCCATTATACTCTCCATTATGTGTAAGGAAACAAGCTGCAAACAAACAAAACATATTGGCCCCACCTTGGCAGCCACCCAACTCACCTTTGCTCCCCATAAACTACCTATTACATCCCTCCAAAATAGCCAACCCACTCACCCCTTGTACCCCCTGCCTGGCCGAATCAACCCACCCAATACCCTCCAAAATGGCAGCCCACTCCACCATAACTTGCCCACAATAATAACCCAACAACAGCCCCACAAACCAGCCCCCATCTCTGATTTCTTTCCATTAAGGAGACAAGAATAAATGGGTATTATCACATGTGTTTGAAATAGTTGCTTCTAGGAAGCTTCCTTATGTCTACATTCAATGTATTATGTATCTCCCCCTTCCCCTCTACCTATATAATCAGGCCATATGGCCATTGTAAAGAACACCTCTGAATATTGAAAATCTTTTACTCTTTGAGTATTATTAAAATAATGTGATACTATTTTAGCCAAATCCCTAATTCTATATCTTAAGAGTGGTTATCTTAAGTGTGAGTTTTAGGTTCTAGATATTTGATTAAGTGTGTCATATCTTAATTAAATTCTAGATTCAAACCCCAAGTTAGGATAAGAGTGTGTAATATCTCTTAAATACCAACTTGGTTTATCCATCACTGATTTTTCTCCCATTTCATACCTCCCCATTTCTCCTCTTAATCTCACTCTTTTCCTCCCATTAAAACACCCAAAATAACTCCACCTTCATTCCCATAATTCCACCTTTTCATCACCAGCATACACCCATCATCTCTTATCCGTATTGGTATCCTGAGAGCCCTAATAATCGATTGTTGAACACTGACAATCGATTGTTGCACCCTCCTGAATATCCCTGGTAACAACAGCAACCCTACATAATCGATTAACAGTTTTGGATAATCGACTATCTTGCTCCTCTGATTTCTCTTGGCCTAAGTCATACAACCCCATAATCGATTATCACACTTGTGACAATCGACTATCCGGCATCCCTGAAGTTCCTTGGTTTTTACAGCATCACTACATAATCGATTGATAAAAGTCCATAATCGATTATTGAGTGTCCTGGAACTTTGAACTCGTGGCTGCATCATCCCTTGATTTCTCCTCAAAATAACAACTCGTTTATACCCCGGGTCTCGGGTATAACAACTGCGCGGTCAAACCCGACGATTATCGCAAGATCTCTTGCTGCACAACCGCCAAAGAAATGTGGGACAAGCTGGAGGTCACATACGAAGGTACGGACCAAGTTCGGGAAGCCAAAATTGACTTCCTCACGCAGGAGTACGAGATGTTCAGAATGAAGGAAGGCGAGAAGATCGATGATATGTTCGAACGGTTCTCGAAGATCATCAATGACCTTCATGCACTCAAAAAGACTTACGCCAACAAGGATCTAGTAAGAAAAATCCTGCGGAGTCTCACACCCAAATGGAGATCAAAGGCCGACGCAATCTACGAATCCATCGGAGTCTCCAACGTCACCATCGACGGGTTAAGAGGTAATCTCAAAACTTATGAATCCACTATTCTAACCCCGTCCTTGGATGAACAAAAGAAGAAAGGAATAGCGCTCAAAGCAACCAAAGAGACGGTGGAAGAAGTCTCAAGCGATGATGACAACGAGTTTGGACTCGTCATCAAGAAATTCCAAAAATTCATAAAGAAGGAATTTGAGCGCAAAGGAAGAAAGCACGATGGTCCCCCGAAGTGCTTTGGTTGTGGCGAGATAGGCCACATCAAGCCGAGGTGTCCAAGAGGCAAAAACAGCAAGAACAAACCCGGCTTCAAAAAGCAAAGAGTGTATATCTCGTGGGGTGGCGACTCCGGCGATGAGTCAACCGACCAAGAATGATATATATCCGGGAGCATGCCCGAAGACTCTCCGTAGCCCGCCAAGGGATAGACGGATCAGGGGAATAAAGCCCAAGTGTGGTGACATTAATGGGGTTGAAACTTCTCCATTTTCCTGCCTTAGAACCCAACCCAACACCATGGTTGTCCTACACCCACCCTAGGCTGAGCCCACACTCCCCATACCTTCCCTAAACATCCAAAATATTTCCTTTTCAAAATAAAGTTTTTCCTACTCTTATTTTAGCCCTGGCCGAAAAATAAGAGTGTGTAAACCAAAACCTTTTTGTTTGTTGTTATTTTCCTTCTTTTAAGCCTTTTAATAAACCAGTAAAACCCTCTCTTCCTTCCTTTCATTCCCTGCCCAAATAAACCTCACAATCCCAACACAACACCCACAAAGAGCCAAAACCATGACCCACCTCCAGCCCCTACTTCCTGCCCATGTTTTCCCTCACAATAACCCAAAGCCATAACTCCAAAATACCCACAAATAATACCCAGCCCTGTCCCCTTTTAATGACAAAAAATAACCCTCCATTCTTACCCAAATAATACCCACAAAACCCAGGAAAACAACCACTACAATCCTAAAACCCAAAACCCCACAATCCCCAGCCCCATCCCTAATTTTATTCCACTAAGGAGATAGGAATGAGTGGCCAATACCCCATGCCTTGGAAGAGATAGTTGCAAGGAAGCTTCCCTAAGCTTACATTCAATGTATTGTGAATTATCTCCCCCTTCCCCTGCCTATATAACTCAGGCCTTATGGCCATTGTAACACAACCTTTTGAATATTAAAATCTTTTACACTTTGAGTATTATTAAAATAGTGTGATGCTATTTTAGCCAAATTTCTAATTCTATATCTTAAGAGTGGTTATCTTAAGTGTGAGTTTTAGGTTCTAGATATTTGATTAAGTGTGTCATATCTTAATTAAATTCTAGATTCAAACTCCAAGTTAAGATAAGAGTGTGTAATATCTCTTAAGCACCAACTTGGTTTATCCATCCCTAATTTTCTTCCATTTCTTATCTCCCCATTTCTCCTCTTAATCTTACTCTTTTCTTCCATTAAAAACACCCAAAAGAACTCCTTCATCATCTCCATATATTTCCAGTTCAATCCACCACAAAACACCCTTCTTCCTGCCAAGAATTCTGCCAAATAATGGATTATCATTCCCTAGAATCGATTATCAGCTCCATTGGAACACCCGCAGGGATCACTAATCGATTATCCTTTCCAGATAATCAACTATCACTCTTTCCCTAAAATCTGCAGCCTTCAATAGTCGATTGTCACTTCTTGTAAATCGATTGTTTACCTCTCCTGAACTTCTGAAGCTCCCCCTGAGAAACTGAATCACTTGACAATCGATTATCCTACTTGGACCCGAGCGTAAATAAAGATAATCGACTATCACTCTTTATTTTCTTGATTATCCACCTTTCCTGCAAAACAAAGGAGCTTGTTCCCTCAAATCCGAGCTTAATACCGACAAACCCCGAGCGTAGATATAACAAAGAAGAGGATGAAGCCGCCAACCTCTGTCTCATGGCACACGAAGACCACGCCGACAAAATACAAGAGGTATGTACTGCTTCTTCCAGCACTTACACTTTTAAAGAGATACAAGAAGCACTTCGTGAGCTTTACGATGAATTTGTTAGTGCTTCAAAAATAAACAAATCATTAAAGAAACGTCTTTCATCTTTTGAAAATGATTTTGAAAAACTAGAAAAAGATAATGAAAAATTAAAACAAGAAAATAAATTTTATGGCAAAAGAAGCGCTGACAAACCGGAAAGCATTTCAAGTGAATGTGAATCTTGCAAAGCTTTAAAAGAAAAGGTTGCAAAACTTGAGAGTACGGTCAAGAAATTCAATACTCCACACAAAGATCTTAACTTACTTCTTGACACTATGCAGTTTTCTAAGGAAGGATTAGGCTTTAATAAAAACGAAACTAAGGATAAAAACGTTGAGCAAACACCTAGACAACCTCCTAAGACTCAACGTAAGAAAGTTAAAAATCAGGATAATAGAAAATCTAGTCAACCTAAGGATACTAGACAACCTAGACTAAAACCTAGGAATGAAAATGTGCATGTTAGGCAACCTAGGAAAAATTATCAAAATGAATTTGTGCATAAAAATAATTTTTCAAATAGACAAAATAATGCTAGGACACCTAGAAGAGATAATTTTCAAAAACCAATGTTTTCTCAAAATAGGATGAATATGGTTAGGCCCCCTAGCAACTATTATCAACCTAGGAGGATGCACAACCCAAACGTAGTTTGCCATTATTGCAATAGGGTAGGACAAATAGCTCATGTTTGCTTTACTAGGCATAGGCATTGGACACAAAACGAATCACACTACCACTTTGCACCTAACACTCAAGGACCCAAAAAGACTTGGGTACCTATGTAACGCCCCAAAAATAGGCCTATCAGAATTAATTAATTAATAATTAATTAATTACTGAGAAGGACCCAAAAATATATGAATTATAAAGTTTGTCAATAAATAATAAAAATTATATCGTTATGTAGAGTTTGACTGTCTGACCGCAACGGTTCAGTCGGATTTTAATTTGGAGAAAGTTGGACCAAAAAGTGTACCCGACTGGGACCAAAATTAGTCCCAATCAGGGACTTACGTTTAAAACCCGTAAAAGATCGCCGTTTGCTCCACTCAGCCGCTGGAACAGGGAACAAGGACACCCATGGCTTCTTCTACTAACCCTCTACTATAAACCCCCAATTTGTCTACCATTTTTCATCATCCTTATCCCAATAGAAGGAGCTGAGTGTGAGGAGCGTTTCAGTACTACCAATTTGGTGTCAAGTTGCCGGAGCAAGCTGTGGTGTTCGCCGAAAGTTTCGCCGGAAAAATTCCAAAACCTCCATTAAGCTTCGAGGTAAGCCCCTAGATATATCTAATGACTAGAATGTTCATATAGGTCGTTTCTACGTTCATAAATGGTCATTTGGTTGAGTTTTGTGTTTGACATACTTGAAGAACTAAGAATCATAAACCATGAAATTGATGTTAAAATTATGAATTAATGATGCTAAAATGATCCATAAACCTTG